ACAGCTGAGCTTCACCTTATCCTCTTTTTTTTTGTTTTTCTGTATTTCCCCAGGTGGAAGCTGCACAAAGGACTGTTATTCATTTATTTATTGGATTTTTTTGCGACTTTGTCCCTTTTTTGATCAGAGGTCGCCACAGGGTAATGAACTGCCAACTCTTCCAGCATATGTTTTTCACAGCGGATGCCCTTCTAGACACAGCCCACCACTGGGAAACGCCTATAAACTTTTGCATTCACACACACTACGGCCAATTTAGTTTATTCAATTCACCTACAGCACATGTGTTTGGACTGTGGAGGAAACTAGAGCACCCAGAGGAAACCCACACTAACACTGGGAGCCGCCTTCACAAAGGACTGTGTTTAAGGAAATGTACTTGTCCGGTATCTGTATCTATTTGAAGAGTACTCATTGATTTACCTGATCAAAATATGAATGCATTGTTTTATACTGTAAAGGTTGACAATGAGTTTAGCAAAAACTTTTAAGATACACAAACAGTCAAATGTCAACTTTGCACATATTATATTGTAGAATGAAAATAATGGATTGACATTATTGTACAGTTGTGTATTCACACTTATTTAAGAGAGTCTCCTCAGTTACTGTTACTATGAGCTTTTCTTTTGTGTAAAACAAGGTTTAACTTTCTTGAACAGTATAAACAAAAGCAACATATTACAAAATTAAAGGTTAATATAATAACATCTTTTTTTCTTAAAAAGATTACTTGGTTTCCAATTGATCTGACATTGTCACTTTTGTCTTTTTTTTTTTTTTTTTTTTGCTAAATTTAAGACTAAATCTATATAATGTCAAAATCTAAACAATGCAAATACATAAATAAGAATAAATAAATTACATAAATATAAAATTAGTCAGAATAATTATTCATTCATTCATTTTCTTTTCGGCTTAGTCCCTTTATTAATCCTGGGTCATCACAGCCTAATGAACCGCCAACTTATCCAAGCACATGTTTTAACGCAGCGGATGCCCTTCCACCTGCAACCCATCTCTGGCAAACATCCATACACTCCCATTCACTCTCATACATTACAGACAATTTAGCCTACACAATTCACCTAAACCACATGTCTTTGGACTTTGGCGGAAACCGGAGCACCCTGAGGAAACACACTGATACACTGGGAGAACATGCAAACTCCACACAGAATCACCAACTGACCCAGCCAAGGCTCGAACCAGCAAGATTCTTGCTGTGAGGCGACAGCACTACTGTGTTGCCTCACAATAATTAGTAATATTTAGTACTATTAATTATAATAATTAATAACTACTAATATTAATTAATAATAACTAATAATAATTAGTACTATTAATGTAATTTTTTAAATGCCCCTTTAAGAATAATTTAAAAAAAAATGGATCAATGAACAAATACACATTTGTATACCGTTACTGAGTAAATATGAACATTTGGTAATAACTGATCACATTGATGTAATAAATTAGAATTTTGAAAATGTTTTAAAAATGCTGAAATGTTAGTTTTTTTTTTAGTTATTTTGCAAATGTAATTTCACTTTTTAGAAATTACATATATGTTATGATTTTGCTGTGTGCTTGATGTTACAGTTAAAAGCTTCATTTTTCTTTGATGCTTTACCACATCGTCCAGTGTTTATTGTGTTTTTCAGAAATATGGATGCTAATATTGTGTATTTTACTGGAATTGCTGTGAATGGCAATAAATAAATATAAAACATAAGTATTCTGTTTTCTGTTTGCATACATTGTTATTTAAAAATATAGATTTTTGTGCTGTATCAAGGAAATAGCTGTCTAAAACAATCTGGGATCTTGTTCAATTTGTATCGCTTTGCATTATCACTTTGCTATACTTAACAATACTAATTCATCAGCATGTCTTTTTACTTAAAGAAATCTGATCTCTATTATAATTTGAAAAACAAATATGTATAAAATACATGTTAATACTATTATTCAAAATGCCTAAACACTTCAATTTGTATGTTCTTTTTGTTTGATCAGTTATTATTAAATATAGAAATACCTTACTGACCCTTAGGCTTGCTAAAACTTGTATTAGCACTACGTATCATGCTCTTTTTTATAGCTTTCAGTGTCTTCATTTGTAATAGCTTTGCACAAAAACATCTGGTTGAAGACTAAATGTAATTGTTCTGTGATTAAAGGTGTCCGAGGGCGTTTGAAACGTCTTCAATTTTAAAAACTAAACTTTAGGCATTAAAAGTCTTAAATTCACTAAAATATTGTAATATAGGTCTTAAATTATTTTAAATGGGTTTTAATTTCCTATGTCAATGTGAAGCTACCCAGTTGTGCCAACTTCTAACAAAACTCTTTATAATTAACTATTTTCCTATATGGCTTCATAATCTTTATTACAATAACATTTTTTTTAAGGTTCATGTATTTATAGCCTATATATGGTGAAAACATTTAACTGGAAAGACTGTTGAGCATTTAGTCCATTACAGTTTCTAAGCTTGTAATGCTTTATAAAAAGTTAGGTTGAAAAAAATATATATACAACTATGATGTCCTTGTTTTATCACATTTAAAATGTGTATAAGAAATTACTAACTGGTGTTGTTTTGATGAGACAAGTTAGAATTATTAAATTTTTTTTAAAACATTTTTTTCTCTAGCCCAACCTGACCATTTCAGAATGGTCTTAAAAGTCTCACATTTGACTTGGTGAAACCTTGGATGGTAGCTGTTGCAAGCTGAGCTGCATGCAATGCTTTTAATGCACACACCTAACCCTATCCCTCATAGCAGGTAGCAGGGGTCATCGACCCTGTTCCTGGAGATCTACCATTCTGCAGATTTCACTTGCAACCCTGACCAAACACAACTGTCTGTAATTATCAAGTGCTGTTCAGGTTCTGATTAATTGGTTCAGCTGTGTTTGATCAGGGTTGGAGCTGAATTCTGCAGGCAGCTAGCTATCCAGAAACAGGGTTGATGACCCCTGCCTCTAGGTTGTACAAAGTCATGTTCATGGAATTATGAGAATGAAAACTGTGTTATGTCTAAATCTGGGGTGTCAAACTTTGTTCCTAGAGGGCTGCTGTTCTACACAGTTTAGTTCCAGCCCTGCTCCAACACATTTACCTGTAGTTTTCAAAAAAGTCTGAAGGACTCAAATAGTTTGATCAAGTGTGTTTAATTAGAGTCGAAACTAAACTGTGTAGAGTTGTGGCCCTCCAGGAACTGAGTTTGAGCACTAAAGCAAATACAATAGTAGACCAAACACAAGTCTACTGGACTAAATGTCATTCAACACTAAACCTAATTAAAAAGATTATTTAATACAAAAATGTTGTGACTCATTTTGGTCACTATTTACAAACAAACAATCAAACAAACAAATAGTGACATTTTATAAGCTGAGCTAAGTGCTCTCTGACTTTAGGCCTGGCAGAGCTTGTGTACATGAAATTGAAAAAATAAAACTTGTGGTACAGCTATATCAAATACATCATTGAAAAGGTCTTGACCTGGAGAGTAACATATGTTTGTATGTAAATTGTAAATGCCTCTTGCTTTCCAAAAACTGACCTTTAAATCTCAACCTTGAACCATGTTTGAAGGTTAATGATCCATCTACATAAAATTCTACAGACATGGGACCATTTGTTACAGAGAGCTCTGGACCACAGCTATCATGTGAGTGTAACAATGTTTGGGCATCAGCTGGCTGCGCTGTTAAAATAATCCAAAAGCAATTTTCTCCCATTTAACAATTACACGTTTTAAATTTGATTATGCCAATGTCTTCCCGACTCATCAAATGTGCAGTAATATCTATAGTTTATTGTTATTGTCGTATAGAAATGAAATATAAGCTATCATATAAATGAACTATAATTCCCAACAAATAAACGCTAGAACTTACTACAAAACATGCAGATAAGCGGCCATATTTGAAGTTCTTTTGGTTTCCAGATTAGGGTTAGATTTAGGGTTGCGAAGTGAATCTTTATATGTATTGGCGATGTCGTACTGCTTAAACCATCATTCATCTGCATTTAGATTAGCTATATAAAAAAAATCTAGATTATGTGTCTGTTAAACGGGGATATTTAGGTGTTATCAAGTCAGGGCGTCGCAGTGTATTTATAAACTACAATTCCCGTTATCAGACAGCATATTTGTAGTTCTTTATTCCACTATCCATTGTAACAATGAAGATATAAAACGTACTGTAATATATAAATTACAAGACGTATTACATGGAAGAAATAACATCCGGATCAGTTCTTAACAGTTATTTATTAATTAGTTAATCAGTTAATTAATGCCTGGTTTAATTATGTAAACATTAGTAGTAAGTAAACTATAACGTTACCCCAAGTGTGAAAAGATCATAAACTGTGTAATGCCCGACTCACATAAGAATTCATGTTTATTGTATAGTTAGCTGCAATAAACAATTACATTGATCCTGATTTAGTTCACCAAGCTGTTTCAAATTAATTTCTAACTACTTCTTACTATTAATGAATGTTACATGAAGTTGTAAAGATAAACAAATTCCTTTACAACTTGGTTAATATGGTTTATACTTTGTTGGTTAAACCATAACATGTCATATTTTGAAATTAACATTTAAGGAAATGATATAATTACATTATACATTTACGCAAAGGGACTTACACACAAGTAGTTTGGGGTTCTCTTTGGGGTTCTGTGCCTTGATCAATACAATCAGCTCAGTCATAGTATTAATGTGGATATTTTCACAAATAATCTCTGCTGGTACTGGGACTTAAACATGAAACCTTTGAATCACAAGTCCAATGCTCAAACCATTAGGCCGTTATTCAGCAACATGAATGTGATCAAGAAAGATAAAGGTTTTGTCATACCAGTGTCATCCAGAGTTTCAACTTTTTTTGTCTTAATCATGGTCTGTGGGATTAACTTAAATATTCAACAGATATAAAATATATTTACTAAAAACAGTGAAAAGGACAATTTAGTATTAAGTAAAATACCATTTAATCCTAATTGAGACAACATCTTTTCAACTAGAAAAACACAGTAAGAATGTAATAAACAGGCAGAAACCAAAATCTATTTTAAATTCAACATTTCTTCAATTCAAATCTCCTCATTCTTTTGAAGAAAATCCTTCGGCTGCCAGGAATCAGCCCACTCCTTGCCACTGAAAACAGAAGAGAATTTAGTTTTAATCATTTGGATATTTAAAATAATAATAATAATGAATAAAACAAATAAAAATATATGATAAAAAATATGGCAAAACACATTGTTACAGAGGGCGACGCAGTGGTGCAGTAGGTAGTGCAATCGGCTCACAGCAAGAAGGTTGCTGGTTCGAGCCTCGCCTGGGACAGTTGGCGTTTCTGTGTGGAGTTTGCATGTTCTCCCTGCGTTCGTGTGGGTTTCCTCTGGGTGCTCCCGTTCCCGTTTTCCCCACAGTTCAAAGACATGCGCTATAGGTGAATTGCGTAGGCTAAATTGTCCGTAGTGAATGAGTGTGAATGAGTGTGTATGGGTTTCCCAGTGATGCGTTGTGGCTTAAAGGGCATCCGCTGTGTAAAATATGTGCTGGGCAAGTTGGCGGCTAATTCTGCTGTTGCGACCCAGATTAATAAAGGGAAAAGGAGCCGAAAAGAAAATGAATGAATAAATGACATTGTTACAGAACATTTTTTCTTAACGTAAAAGTTTCACTTTACATTTATAAATGACTACAACTGCTTGAAAAATAAAACAGACTAAAAGGTAATTATTGAAGTAAAAAAAAAAAAAAAAGGTTACAAAAAAGGAAATAATTATTCCTGCAAACCAGGAAAGCAGAGGAATGCTTACCATACAGGACAGGGATCCCAGTTAACCAGCATTTCTGCTTTGCCCTATAAAGAAGATACAGAAAAAACACTAAACAAACAAAGAAAATGTATTGGTATTTACAGCTTGTGATGAACAGTTTAGTACAAGCTTTCTTAATCTGTGATTCAAAACCATTAACACATACAAAAGTATCTACCTAACAAACATGGTAGTTACTGTATTTACTGCCCACACATAAATTCCTAAATAGTGCTGCACTTTGATTAATTATGCATTTCTATTATGACTGTTTAACCTTTCTCACTCTTTCTCTTACAACACTCCTGATGGGGAAAGCCTCTAGGCGAGTGTGATAGGGACAATCTGTAAACATCAAAAACATATTTTACACATTTCTTAGAGTAGACAAAATACAAACAACTCTGAAGACTTAAAAAATGACCTGATCTGCAAGGATTATGAGTGATGATTATTGTTAATCAAAAGTTGAACCACTTATCATTGAAATCTAACTACTATTCCAATATGGTATGCTTAAAAAAGTACTGCTGCTGATTCACAGCTGTTAATTGAGAAAGCCATAGTGTTACTTCTTGAAAAAAGATTTTGGTCACCTAATGCAATTTCATACATTAAGCCAACTAGATTTTGTATGTTGTCTGTTAGGAGTAGATACCATTTGAAGTATTGAATATAATAAAAACAATGGAACCATTGGAAATAACCTGGGGTAAAAACAGCAACAACACTAATGTCACAAAAATGTCAACACACTGAGAAAAGCATTGACCAACTCATGTACTTACTCTTTTGTGGCTTTTTCCTCTCTGGCTTTTTCCTTGGGGCCACTGTGAGATAAAAGATTATAGATTAGAAGTCATATGTAATTAGGGTAGGCAGGGGGAGAAAAAAAAACTAAAAAAAAAAAATAAATAAAACCAAGACAAAATACAGTCACCTCTACATTTCTGTCCAAAAAATATAATTACTGTAATTACAAATGCTAAATGTAGGCATCGACATTGTTTGTTTGCATTGGAACAACAAAAAAGTTGAGAAATCTCTATGACATTGTCCTAAAAAAATACATAAATGTAGAGGAAACATTAAATTAACAAGCACCTATTTTGAACCTGCAAAAATAGTTGTATTTCAAAAAAGTAATGCTTCTCGACTAAAACTGGGAGCAATGCATTTGTATTGGCAATACATAAATCAGTTAAATTTTTGATTTTTAACCATACTGAGTATACAGAAAAGAGAAAGAGTGGTCTGAAAAAAATAGTCAAAAGATTTCGCCATTTAAATCGTAGAAAAACTTGAACAGTCTCAAGGTTAAAGCTTTATCTCCAATGTTTCAGTGTCCATGGTGCAAAAGACTGTAAAGAACTTTACAACTCATGGCATTGTAACTATTATCCCTATATGTGAATTTTGTGTGCATTCACAGCTCGCAATGCAGGTGTCTCCATCATCTGTTATTTGTGACCGACTGTAATGTAATGTACTATAAAAATGTAGTTCGTTGTTTCATTTTCATAGAACAGTTATATATAGATGTTTATATATATATATATATATATATATATATATGCGTTATATATATACTGCGTTGCATGCCTGGGGGGTCCAGCATGTTAATGCGCTGCTCGCGGGCAGTTCATGTCGTCATTGCGATGCCATGACTGTTGCGCAGTAAAGAACGCAGCTAGCATTTGCAAAAGGGCAAACCATCCCAATTGTCCCCTGCTCTGCAGCGGGCACTCGGGCAGATCTGAGGGTTTCAGCGAGAGGTAATCTGTCGCCCATGGGCCCGCTGACCTCCCGCTTCTCCAAGCGCTCCATCCAAACTTCGGGCGGGGGAAGCGATCCGTCTAACAGATGGTAGCCCTTACGCTCGATGACACCGGAGACCAGACGTCCACCGCGGCATCAGAGGGTGAGCTTTCATTGACTGATGATGATCCAGACCCGCTCGCCCCTGTGGAAATATAAATTTCTATCAAATAATTCCAAATGAACAATAATCTACGTATAACTGAAAAGTTATATTCTTTGGTTTTTAATTATATAATTTCATTAACATCCCAGCTTGGAGGGACATTTAACCTTTATCTTTCTGACTACAGGCTAAGCCAGTGATGCAAATGCTTTAAACGACTCTGTCTTTGTCTTCGGGTGTTGCTTTTATGTTACAGAAACCCTATGTTGATTAATTTGTGTGGTCAGTAGCTGGGCCGTTTTTTAACACCTATGCCATGCTAACTCCAATACTGAATTTGCATGCTTTGTTTAGCCATATCCCCTCCTCCTAAGAACACAATATAGCCATGAAATCTTTGTCTTAATTCAGACTTATGTGAGACTTGTGAGAGACTTGTGAAAGAACTTGCAGACTGCGGACCTCTAGTAGGCTCTTGCAGACACATGAACATCTTAAAGACGCTGTATGACTGCAGATTAACCAACACGTCTCAATAAAGGAATTCTGCTTGTTCCGAGTCTCCTGGACTGGGTTCTCTCTTCTTTTCACTCATTTATTTTTTTACAACACCCCCTCCGGGCTGGTGAGCGCTGTCAAAACGGATCCTGAAGCGGACATGTTAGCCGTGCTTTCCCAGGCTGCTTCGGCAGTGGGTTGGAGATGGTTTATCCCTCAGCTCCGCGGCCGGACCGACTAGAGGGGCGTCCCCTTCTTTCCGGAGGTGCACAGTAGGCTCACGCGGTCTTGAAGGGCACTTTTTTCTGCTTGTGCTGCATTTCCCTCCACCCTCACTACTCTTGACGGTGGAACGGCCAGGGGGTATGTGGTGATTCCTCAGGTTGAGTGCGCGATGGCGGTTAATCCACGCGGTGCCTCTTCTTGGTGGGGTCCGCCTCGTCTTCCATCCAAAGCCTGTAAGTTATCTGCCTCCCTCGGAGCTAGAGCTTACAAGGCTGCGGGACGCCTGGACGATGTCCACACTAGTGATCCAGGAGCACCACCCCCGGCTGATATGCGCGAAGTCGACAAAGTCCGCTTTCTTGACCTCCCCATATCCCAAGCTGGCATGTTCGGCGACACCGTCTGTGAATTCACCCAGGAATTCGAGGCGGTGAGAGAGCAGTCTGATGGGTGATGTCTTATCGGCGGGTCCGTAAGCCCACTCCGCCCGCCGTGCCATCCATACCTGCTCCTCGCCGAAGGCGCCTGCCTACGAGAGCTGCACCGCCCCCGCACACGCCTCTGGCGAAGCGAGCGTGTCGAGCACCTCGGAAGCAGACAGCCCCCCCCCTGCCCAGAACGCCGCTAAGTCCGGCAAAGGACCGCGAAGCGTCCCAGGGACAGGCTATCTGGAGAAGAGAGAACTTGCTCTTTCCCCGCTGGAGGGCGGGGCGCCATTTCCAACGGCACTTTTTACTGCCATGAAAACATCATGAAATAGCACTTTTCCACTTTCCCGGATGTGACAGCACGAAATCTGCCAGTCTGGGACGCTATGCTTTCTAGCTTGCAGATTCGGTGCGTTTTGTCAGTGGCTCACGAGCGCTGGGAGGACAGTCTCCTTTCTCCCACCCCTCGAACCTCCCCTCCGGAGCTCGGGTGCGGAGTGAGAGCAAATCTCTCACCTCCAGCTCGTCTGTGGGACCCGCGCGCTTCCCGGATCAGCACACCCACTCCGCGCTGCCCCACTGCTGGTACGTCAGAGATTGTAGCGATGAGTCCATTAGCGAGAGCTCTGCCTGCCTGGTTAGCGCGGACCAGCTCTTCGCGGTGGCTCATACGCACAATCAGACTCGGCTATGCGATTCAGTTCGCGTAACGGCCCCCCAAGTCACGGGTGTGTATTCACCAGGGTCAGCCCCCTGTCCGCCCCTGGCTTGCGAGAGGAGATTGCTGTTCTCCTGGTGAAGGATGCAATAGAGCTGCTCCCTTCAGCCGAGATGGAGAGCGGGTTTTACAGCCCACACTTCATCGTGCCCAAAAGAGCGGTGGGTCACGGCCAATCCTAGACCTGCACGTTTTGAACCGCTGTCTGCACAAGCTGCCGTTCAGAATGCTCACGCAGAAGCGCATCCTCCAGTGCGTTCGTCCACTGGGTTGGTCTGCAGCATTAGACCTGATGGATACGTATTTTCATGTCTCCACTCTTCCTCGCCACCGTCAGTTTCTGCAGTTTGCGTTTGAAGGTCGAGCTTGGCAATACAAAGCCCTCCCCTTCGGGCTCTCTCTGTCTCCGCGGGTCCTCACCAAGCCCGTGGAGGGTGCTTTAGCGCCCCTTCGGCTCGCGGGCATCCGCATACTCAATTTTTTTGACGACTGGCTGATTTTTGCCCACTCTCGGAGCAATTGATTATGCACAGAGACAAAGTGCTCCGGCACTTCCTCCTGTTGGGGTTTCAGGTCAACCGAGAAAAGAGCAAACTCGCCCCCGTGCAGAGGATCTCTTCTCTCGGGCTGGAGCTGGACTCGGTCACTATGGCAGCGCGCCTCTCCGGAGAGCCAGCTCAGCTGATGCTGTACTGTTTAAGAGAGCTCGACAGTAAAATAGTGGTCCCACTGAAACTATTTCAGAGGCTCCTGGGGCATATGGTATCCGCTTTCTTGCCGCTCGGATTACTCTATATGTAACCACAGCAGCACTGGCGTTACGATCAAGTCCCCAGATGCACATGGCACGCACACGCACACCGAGTCTCTGTTACTGCACTGTGTTGCCGCGCCCTCAGCTCTTAGAACGACGCCTCGTTCCTACAGGCCTGAGTGCCTATAGGACAGGGGTCCAGTCTTGTTGTCGTTTCAACAGACGGTTCCAACACGGGCTGGGGGGCTGTGCGTTGCGGGCATGTGGCTGCGGACCTGGAAAGGTACCCATTTGCATTGGCATATCGCCTGGAGCTGTTGGCAATGTTCCTCGCTCTCCACCTTTTTTCCGGTGCTAGAGCGGCAACACGTGCTAGTCAGGACAGACAGTACGGCGGCGGCGGCGCAAATACGCGTTTCCCCCAGTGAGCCTGCTCGCGCAGTTACTGTGCAAGGTCAGGGAGAACGAGGAACAGGTTGCTGGTTGCGCCCCTCTGGCTCAACCGGACCTGGATGTCAGAGCTCTCCCTCCTCGCGATAGCCCTCCCCTGGCAGTTCCCTTCGAGAGAGCACCTACTCTCTCAGGGACAGGGCACCATCTGGCACCCTCGCCAATCTTTGGAGGTCCTTAGACGCAAGGAAGACTTAAGTAACCTCCGATTGCGGTGACTATTACAGTCACTCGGGCTAGAGCCCCCTACCCGACCGCGCCTATGCCCTGAAGTGGAGTCAATGCACTGAATGGTGCGTCTCTCGCAGAGAAGAATCCCGTTATTTGCCAGATCAGCGTTGTGCTTTCTTTACGCCGAGAGAAGCTGGAGAGCAGGCTGTCGCCCTCCACACTCAAGGTTATGTGGCTGCCATCTCCGCTCTCATGACGCGGTGGCTGGCAGCACCGTGGAAACGCATAACCTCATCATCCGGTTCCCTTAGGAGCGCTAGGCGAAATAATCCACCCTGCCCCCTCTCATGCCCTCTTAAGATCTCGCCCTCATTACACAAGCTGCGTCAGATCCCTTTGATCCTCGATTCAGTATCTTTCTGTCCCTGAAGACAGCTCTGCTGGTCGCGTTGATATCGATTAGAGGGTCGGGGACCCGGAGGCATTTTTTCGGTCAGTGACTCGTGCCTGTAATTGGGCTGGCTTTCTCTCACGTCCTGAAACCCCGCCCGTGATATGTGCCCAAGGTTCCTTCCACTCCGTTTTAATACAAGGTAGTGAGCCTGCAAGCGCTGCCCCCAGAGGAGGCAGACCCAGCCCTTTCTTTATTGCCCAGTTCGCATCTTGTGTATTATCCGGACCGCACTCAGAGATTAGATCATCTGAGCAGCTCTTCGTCTGTTATGGCGGTCGGCAGCAGGGTAGTGCCGTATTGAAATAAAGTTTTCCCACTGGATTGTGGATGCCATTCTCTCGCTTATCAGCCGAGGTGAGTCACGTCCCCCGAGAGTGCGTGCGCACTCCACTCGGAGCTTCACATCCTTCCCGGGCGCGCGCATGCGGCGCCTCTCTAACAGACATCTGTAGAGCTGCGGGCTGGACGACACCCAACACATTTGCAAGGTTTTACAATCTGCGAGTGGAGCCAGTTTTCTCAAGGGTATTAGGTAACCCTTTGGTGATTGAGGAAACAACTCAGTAGGGTGTTGAAACACGCTTGCTGTGCCATTCTCCCTAACACGGAGGTACGTGCGCCTTTTTATCTGTCAGTAAAGTTCCCCGTCAGGTGGGCCATGCAGATTCCTCCGTGGCCCCCAGCACTGACTCAGCGGAGGAGTCACCTGCTGGCCCACAACATTGTAGGTCTGCCCGCGTTTTGGGTATAGGTGCCTGCTATGCGTGATCCCTACTAGGCGATCCCATATGCCTATTCCGCCACGGTTGGACCCGTTCCCTGGGTGGACCCGTGTCTTTCCTCTTCGCTAACCATTTTTTTCTATGCGTACTCCCCCTTCTTAGGGCTAGTCCATATGTAAATTCTGCCATCTATTCCCCCCTTGGGTAGCGGATGGCCTCCGCAGCGTCCTCCCTATCGGGATTGCACGCTTCCCAACGTACTGTCATATTTTCGTAGAATTATCTAGACACTCACGACTTCCCAAAAAATATATCTAAATCCGTAAAACTTCTGCTGAAGTAGGATAAATTAGGGCCTGGGACACGTTGGAGGACCGCGCTTCCCATGATGTGGGTGCGTCACGCTTGCTTGACTATCCCCTCATCGGGGGCGTTGGTAAGGTGTAGTCATTATGGCGCTTTCCATAGTTCTCCCATACGTGGATTTTCTAAATCAAATCCACTGTATAGCACTGAAGTTCCCCAACCGAAGAGGAACGTTCGAGGTTACAGAAGTAACCCTTCCTTCCCCGAGGAGGGGAACGGAAATGCTATACTCCGTCGCCATAATGACTGTCCCTTAGCTGTTTGAAAGTCTCTTCAGCTTAAAAGGATGGCGTTTGCTCGCTCCAGGTGTGCTTATATGTTGGGATAATTGGCAATGAAGCACACCTGTGCAAGCTTACGCTGCCAATTCATTACATTCATTGGCCCGTTCAATACTCTTTCAGACAAGCGGCTTCTGAACCGAAACCTCCCATATGTGGATTTTCAAAATCAAATCCACTGTATAGCACTTCCGTTCCCCTCCTCGGGGAACGAAGGGTTACTTCTGTAACCTCGAACATTATTCTAAAACAAAATTTTTAAGTGCTGAAGGCAATTAAAGAAAATGACCAGTTCTACCATCTAACATGGCAGTTACCATTAGGAGTGTGTGCCATTAGAGCACAAGTTAAAAGGTTGCCAATGGAGTTGGCATATATATATATATATATATATATATATATATATATATATATATATATATATACATAATTTCCATACATTGCCAGACTGTAACATTTTTGTTCTTTTATCTATAAAAATTGTTCCAAGTGAAGTGATCACTTAGACACTTTTTAGCTCTAAAGGCAAATACAGTGATGATTCATTCATGAATTTAAAAATGCATTTAAAGGGATAGTTCACCCAAAAATGACAAAAACTAAAAAATTCCTGTTTATTTACTCACCCAAATGTCATCCATTAAAGCAACGGGACTAGATTAGCCTCTTAAGGTGTTGTTCATGCGTTTTTATTTCTCTTTGCTATTTGGGCTTATTGGAACCTAACTAGAATAAAACTGATGTACTTTCAGAGAAAGATTATGTCCATATGATCTGAATTTGCATAAAACACTTTTCCTGACTGTTTTGTAATGCATATTTAACATAGAAACTATCAGTTTTGACGATCAGAGAGTAAAAACATTTTTTCCCCCATTTTGGACAGTTAAAAACATTCATATGCTGCAAAACAGTTGCAGGATGACACTGTATGTCTTAAGCAAAATATAAAACATTCAAAGTGTTTTAAAATAACTACTTAAGAGATAAAATGTGCTGTCCACGTATGTGGCCTCTAAGCCCTGGGAGCTTAGGGCTACAAATTACTTTGTGGACAGTTTACAACCTACTAACTATGTTCTGCCTTAAAAAAAATGTGTTTATATTTTAATCTCAAAAGACTGTCACCACTCACTACTATTACATGAATCACTAAGGACCATGGATTCAGCTAAAAATCTTCTGTAATGTTCAACTGAGGAAGGAAAAGCACCTAAATCTTGGATGACATTGCAAACTTTTATTTTTATCAATGTTTCAATTACCCTTCGATAAATACATTCACTTGCTTTATTCTTGACCTAATCAGATGTTTAAACAAATTATTCAAATTTTACATGATCCAGATTATCTATAGAAACTAAAAAACTAGCAAGTATTACATTCATGTCATTCATCAAAAAATATAGCGTGATGCATTTGAGGTATTGCCCCTACTTGGCTATTTAACAAGTTTAGATTGCAATGTCAAAATTTACTATAACTTTAGATCTGTCCTATCTTGTCCTTCCATCAGGCTAGCCTCTTCCACCTGGTCCTTTGTAAAGGTCGCCTCCTCCACCTGGTCCTTTGTAAAAGTTGCCTCCTCCACCTGGTTCTTTGTAAAGGTTGCCTCCTCCACCTGGTCCTTTGTTAAGGTTGCCTCCTCCACCTGGTCCTTTGTTAAGGTCGCCTCCTCCACCTGGTCCTTCATAATGGCCGCCTCCTCCACCTGGACCTTCTCAATGGTCGCCTCCTACACCTGGACCTCCATGATGGTCGCCTGATCCTGGCTCTCCATAGGGGTTGCCTGATCACCCTCGGTCGTCATCACCTCCTCCTGGTTGGCTGCATTCTCCAACGGGTCACAAGGTGTGAGGTTCAGCGTAATATGCTGATCCTCTTTGGAATTCCGGTTCCAGCTGGTGCAAGTTCGACAATGTGCAGTTCAAACTCATGGTTAACTTGCTGATTTAAGTGTTAGCCTAAACCATACAGTCCTAATTTGTGGGTACCTAACTATAAATGTGGTAAACCTGAATTTGAAATACATGTGCTGTGCTCTTCCTATCACTGCCAAATCATGCTCTCATTTGTGGAGTGAATAGAAATGAACTTAAGAGATTGATTGACCCTAAAACTAAATTGCAGTCATCACCCAAAAAAGAGAGAGAGGAAATTACCAGCCATAGTTCCTTAATCCCCATTTTGTGCAATTACAATGCAATTTAACAAATTATTATGTACTAAATAGTATGCAAAAAAACAACTGTGGCAGTGGACATTAACAGAAAATATTTAAAGAGAGTTCTTACTAGTAATGTCCTACTAAATAGTGTGCTGGTTGGCTGTGTTGCTTTATTTAGTTTTAAAAGCTCAGTTATATTTTATAAAACTGGGTTGCTTTTATACAAGTCTAATTGTCTGTCAGGCTGTAGTTAGTGACGTCTGAATATAGGTGTTAAGGGATGAAGCATCCCTATAAGATTTAGGCATAAACTTTGAAAAAAATGCATATTCAACACAAGATGTTAACTATATAACTATAAAAGTACAGTGCATGCATCTTACCTTCACAAAGGTATTCATTAATTGAGCCAATCTTTTGAAGGTACTCTTGGGCAAAAGTGGAAAGAGTGCACCAAGGGGTCAGTATTTCACATTTCTGCTCATTGGTCTTTGTCTCCTTGCCGAGAAGCAACACAGGCTCGTACCCAATGGCATGGAGTTTCTCAAGCTGCAATGACAACATTAGGTAATTAATGTTCAAAGCAATAGAAAAAACAAACAAAAAATATGTTTATGCTATTAGTTATTGACAACATTCTGTATAATATTTCTGATAACCGCATACCAAGTAATACAATACAGAATTTTTAACTTTGTGGTGAAATTAGCATATAAGGAAGAATGGTACAGTATAACAAAAAACTATTCTTCTAAATTAAAAAAATTTAATAAATAATACTATAAAAATCAACAAAACAAAAAGATGAAACCACGAGGGGCTCTAAACATTTGCTACATTGGCAAAATTGAGTAACCACTACAATTGGACAGTGATAATCTACAGATTAATTTAAAATAAAGGCAGACCCTATTGAATATATGGCATAATGGGCAAACGTTCCACATACACACTGAAGATATTTTACATTTTTACAGAATATGAATGTGGTAGAAAATATGAAGTTGATTAGTTTTCATCATGATAGACAAATTTAATTATTACATTACACTTGTAATTTCCAAATTCAGATTTTCTAACTATCACTTGTATTTGATGTGTTGCATTTGTAGTAGTAACTAATTTGTGACTGTGATGTGTTAAGGCTAAAATAGAATTATTAAAGGTATTACCACTAAAATAAGATCACAATAAATTATATTCTTGAGTAATCACAATTACATCTGACTTTAAATCATAAATATTATATACTGGCTTATAATTACTGGCCTGATCACTTAATCAAAACTGATACTGTACCACTGAATTTAGCATGACAGCTCTAACCATAAAATAACATGCAAGATATGAAGTGAGGTGAATCCTGTCACATTATGGTTTTACAAAGTGCACACACACACACACACACACACACACACACACACACACACACACACACACACACACAAGTAAAAAGTGAACACACACTCACACACACAAATACACACACACACTCACACACACACACACACGCACACACACACACACACACACACACACAAACACACACACACACACACTGCAAGCTCGTGCTTCCAGTGCCATTAGGTGATAGATGCCTTACTCTAGGGCGGGGGTTTTCAAACTTTTTCAGCTAAGGGCCCCTTTGTGTAGGGCGAATTATTTTGGGGACCCCCAAAAAATAAAAATGACTCCAAAAAAAAAAAAACTTCAAATTAACAACTGTATTAATTTTTTTTTTTTATTGTATTATTCAATACATTTATATTATTATATATTATTCAATACATTTATATTATTCATTATCTGGATTCATTTTTGTAAAATGTCAGTTGAGTTGACATGGTTTCTGTGCTTCAATCTATTGATCAAATCTTCAAGTGCAGTGTTCATTGTGGTCTGCTCTCATTGGATTCCATCAAGACATATTTTGTGTACAAGTCATCACGTTTACACAGTTTTTTATGCCATATTTATGTTTTTTTCTGCCTATGCACAGCTAGACTCTTCTGTATTTACCCTTACAGCTGAGAGTCTAAATGTATCTAAAGATTTAAAGCTTTGAAGTTTTAAAGAGTTTTGTCATTCACCAGCCTGTTAATGGTTAACAGTTAACTGTACTGTTGTAACTAGCAATACTACAATGGAGGCTGTAGTGGTTCAGTGTGTTGAAGTTTTGTTTATTTTTATTCCTTTTTTTTGTGCACATCAAAATTTATTCAAGTCGACAATCCTGACTTACACTGATAAAAAATTATTTCCTAAATGCAATCTAGAATTGGGTATTCAAGTTCAAAGAGCCACAAGTTTTACTTTACATAATTTTAGAAGCTTTGCTGACTTTAAAATGTCCATACCAGTTTGTTCTATTAATAATAATACTGAACATTACATTTAAATTACACAAATAAATATGGGAAAAAGTGGATTAACATCTTGAAAAAATGCATTTGCATTCAGAGTATTAAAGTTTGATCACTAATTACAGAGCACTAATACATTTTAATATTTGATAATTAATTAGCTCTATAACATAACACAAACAGATACATTATAATTTTTATAGGTTATAGTGGTTTTACTCAGGGTGTATACAATTTAGTTTTTTTAATCATCCAGTAATGAACCAATGTGTGTAAGAGGTCCACTGCAGAGCTCATCCAGCTGTCATTAGTGTAACAGGAGTGAAACTCTGAGCACTCGCTGATGTTATGACAGCTCCATTCATTGTTATTGCAGCACTTTTTGCTTTACAATTTTAATATGTTTGTTTGCCATGCTGCAAAGAGGACCGTCTGAAATTTGTACAATGCAAAGTGTAAAGCCTATCGCACTGTGGACGAGATGCAATGTTGTGCTGTGTCTTTAAAATGCTATTTGTTCCCTATGAGTGAAGCCTGCGCAGAGAGGCGCGCACTCCGCAGCATCCAGCTGATCGGTTACTTAGCAACGCAAGCCATATACAGGATAGTGCTTTCAGCCACCGATAATGTTCTTATTGATCATGTATTTTAACTGAAATATTGTCAGTTAAATAGACCTGAGCATTCATTTAGTTGTTTAAGCGTAAAAGAGATAAGCATAAGTGAAAGGTAAATGCTGTCAGGTGCAGGAAACAAGCGCCAAAAATCACAGGAAGTGCCCGGCCAGGCGCTTATTCAATAAAAGTCCCCGTGCACAGAGGCGCGGCGGTGCGCTTCTTCACCTGTGTCACGAAGGTGTCAACTGCATTTAAACATAAGCATAAAGCTTCATTTTTGCAGTACTTTTGAGCTCAAATTATAATAAAGAAATACATTAACCTCCAGAATGATGCGGGACACAAAATTCATCCATGTGGGCCCATTGATTACCCCTCATCTAAAATTTCTTTGCGGCCCCCCTAGCGCCATCTGGCGGCCCCCAGTTTGAAAACCCCTGCTCTAGGGCACCTCAACTGGGTACGTAAGATTCACTGCAACCTTATGATTACAACCTCAATTGTACATACCTTCGTCATACACGCTTTTGTTTTACAATGTTAGAAAATCACCTAAATACATTGAAATGATTTGGGATTTTATTTGGGACATTTACATTTACACACATTTCTTCTGATAATAAAACTTTTAAAAAGTACATACCATAACAATTCCTTTATCCTTAATGGATGCATTGTTGTGGTTCTCATTCAACCGACCACCCACTCCTCCCGCTTCTCATCGAACCGCCGAAGCTTTTTCTTCAGCCTTTGCTTCACTGGCTGCTCCTTTTTACAATGCAAACAGATTTTTTGGGCACAAAATAAAATGCCCTGACAAAATGGACATATTTTGTTGGTAGAGCCCCCTGGCATTGTGTATCAGAAAGACAGACAGACAGACTGACAAAGACAGATAAGACAGACAATTAAAATAATAAAGACAGAAAGATTTGATATAGAAAATAGAAATGTTAGTCCAATAGATGAGACTAGAAAAGATAGAACTGTTTAGATAGATAGATAGATAGATAGATAGATAGATAGATAGATAGATAGATAGATAGATAGATAGATAGATAGATAGATAGATGGGTTCGTTAAATGTGTAGGTGTTTGTGAGTGTGTGTTGTGACAGGAGACTCTTTTGAGAAAATAGGCAGGGAGAGCATAACATATTAATTACTATTATTATTACATGTTAAAAGGCATAAAACATGGGCCTAAGGTTCCTGATTGTAAAGGAAGTGAGATCACCTTCAAGTGATAACAAACTAAATTTACCTTTTACTAGGAAGCATAACTGATTTATTTATTTCATAATTTGAATCTCTGTACCTGTACGTTTTTATGTCTGTAAACATTACTAATAATGTCCAACGTTACACTGTTGATGTTAACGCTATGTATTGATTATAGCCAAACTCTGAAGACTTAAGGCCAACTGCATCGATGTACAGTGCTGAAATTATTTTAAATTAATAGTAATGATGGCCATGATTGAAAAAAAGTTTTTTTTTTTTTTTTTTTTTTTCCCTTTTGGACCAAAAGTAGTACATCTTGGATTTCTTTTTCTTAATAGAGGTAGCTTGTACTTAAGTAGCTATGCTAACCAAGTTTAGCATGTTTCACAAGCCTACGTTTTTATTTAACTTTTGTCTACGATGAGCAGTGTTGGGAAGGTTACTTTGGAAATGTAATAGATTACAGATTACAAATTACCCTATTTAAAATGTAATAAGTTACTGTAATTTTCAATTACTTTATAAAAGTAAAGTAACTAATTACATTTGATTACTTTTTGATTACTTTTAATTTTCTAATAAACATTTTCAACTAAATAATTTTCAAGCATTTATACAGAGCAGGAGTGAGCTTACAGTAGCTCTGTTTACTGTTAGAATCGCAAAAGCTTTCAACACTTAAATAAAATTAATTTAATTTATATAAATTTAAAGTAGAGCCACCACAAAACCGGACCTTATCACAAAAACATGTTTACTGTTGTTACAAAATCACAATGTTAGTTAGTTGTGCAGGTGATTTATGGGGCATTTGCAATATAAAAATACATCTAATTTTTGAAATTTTCATTTTTAAATAGAAGCCACTTAAATCCAAATCAATCACATCTTAGTGATCAATAAAACTGCCAATGAAACATATGAGGCAGAACTGTTCATTTTAATTATTTACTGTAAATAATATGCTGTACCAAACAGGAATAAATTATAGTATATAACAGCAAAAACAAAAAAATCCAATAAAACCAGGTGTTACACATTTTAAACAATATTGATCCGCGATCTGTAAATGTAGCTTGTGTGGACACTACTGCGCTACTTCACTAATAAAATAGCTTCGCTACTGTGAAAAGCTATTTGATTTTTTAGCGACGCTACCGTCACGCTACTGAGAAATGTAGTTAAGCTATAGCTACACTGGTAATGTGATAACATCACTTTGGCCAGAGGAGTCTGCTGGTGCCCTGAAATTCACAAATCGATAACTTTATAAATCATAATATATCATTAGAAATTAAAGGGTCTGTTTTTATTTCTGTACACTCACGATAACGACAAAAACATTTGCTTTTATAAAACAAAGAAACGCTAGCTTACATCCCTGCAGATGCTTCCTTATGCTTTTCAATGGCAAGGAGGATTAGACATGTCCATTAATTTGATTTAACAGTAGGGGGGACAATAAATATAACATTTCTTATGAGCAATTTTTTAAAGATTGTTTGAAGGACACAAATAATACAGCTGAATTGTACTTTTATGTCTCCGCAGTTAAAAATGGTTTTATTGTTTATATTACAGCATGGAGACTACATCATTATGGTTATTTTTAAAGCTTTTCTCAGGTTCATTGACAGCAAATTTTTTTGAAAACTATTTATTGCATTGTTTGTTGTGTTGTTTACAGTCAACAGACTGACTCCTGAAGCCGAATAAATGCAGGAAAAGACAATTTCCATACTCATAATAACTAACTGGTTTACATTACACTTGTTAAATTGAGAGATCACATTGTAAATTGGTGAGCCTGTGAGGTTCATCTGCTAAACAGCCACAACTCAGAAAACATTTTTAAAAATTGTTCACCCCTAAAAGAATTGTCATTATCCCTTCAATAAAGCACAACACCCTTACCTGACACTGTACATCTGACTGACCCTGCTCTGCCTGTTCCTCAATCATTTCTTTCTCCTCTGCCTGTGATTGATAATGTGACATTAGTATTTTCATAAGCACTCATTCTGAAAGCCAAATTGCTTAATATGTGAACTTTTTGTACTTGGGAGTTTTGCTGCACTGAAAAATGATCTTATGTCCATTTTCCTTTTCTCTGTCATTTTATCATTGAGGTAAAGTTGGCTTTATATTTGCACATTCAGTCTCTCATAATATTACCTCAGAAGAGTATTCATTGGAAATTCTAAATAGTAAAATTATATTAGCAGCCAACAACCATCAAAGTACAGCATTGTTTACAGTTAGTGTTAATATTATAATGGTTTACCTAAAGGTTCTATAAAGACGTTGCAACTGATACAAAATACAGCAGCCAGAGTTTTATTGAAATTGAAGACACAAGAACATATCACAGCAGCATTAATAGAATAAATTTTAGGATTCTTTTATTAGTTTATAAGGCACTACACAACATGACACCTTTCATACTTTTCTGACTGCTTATCAAAATATAATCCAAACCGTTTGCTACGCTCTTCTAGCACTCGACTTTTAGAACTTCACTCTGTAAATCTGATGCTATCTGGCGGCACTTCTTTTAGTCACTATGCTGCAAAATCTTGGAATTTTCTCCCAAATTAAGTAAAAGAATCCCCCAGAATTTATTTTTAAAAAGCTTAAGAAGCACCTTTTTAAAATTGCGTATGAATATAAGTTTGTGAAGTTTATGCAATTAATCTATATCGTGTAGGTTTATGTACATATGCATGTACGGTGTGTGTGCATGTATGTAAAGAATATTGTGTGTGATTGTGTAGATGTATGCATATATGTGTGTACATGTATGCTTTTATCTGAGTATATATTTTGCTTTAATTGTCTAATATACATTATTTTGTATTTGGTTTATTTTACAATGCCTGTTTGTTGTTTGTGAAGTGCCTTGAGTTCCATGTATGTAGGAAAAGTGCTATACAAATAAAATGCATTATTATTATTATTATTAATGTTGTTTTGAAGTCAAACTTGCATGAGATTTCAGTTCAAATATTCAAAGTACCATGGTAAACAATGTATGGAGCTGTCACTGAATGAATGTGCGAATATAAAACCAACTTTACCTCAATCATTTTATCTAGTCCACGACTTGCAATGCAAGTTTATTCTGTAGCACATTTTATATACAATGCTAATTCAAAGTGCTTTACACAAAGAATGAAAAACTATCATAAAAATCATCACAACAATAAAAACAAGGACATTTTATATTTTAAATTAATTTAGTCACCTAAGAACAGAACTGAAATTGATTATACAAAAAATAAAGTGGGGCTAGTTTGGACGTAGCACACAGTGCTCATTTAGCAAATCCACAGATAAACAATATGCTAATTTTGGCCATTAATGTAAAGTTAACATTATGCCAAGTCATCACAACTGAAACAATGCACCACTTTGGCGTATTATTTTGCAGTGCGCCACTAACGTAACAAGCTAAACAAGCATACGTTAACTACATGAGTAATTTTAACCGCTAATACAGCAGATTCATGGACTTCTGTAATCTGCATTTTTGCCGCAACTAATTTATAAATGATTCTGCATTAACTTTGAAGAGAATCGATTTTTTTAATGTGATTAATACACCATACTTACTCAAATTCTACATTGACCTGTAGCCACACACCTAACTTCTGCGTCTGTCTGTCTTTGACTGTGACAGGCTGCGTGTACTTGAGGAGTAGGTGGATCAAACCACTATGAGGAAGCGGGGGTGAACTCTTTCTAAATGCATTTTAAATAATAAATGCGTTTTTTTTCTACTTAGACAATTATTTTAGGTATACACACACATATTTTTCAAAATAGAGAGTGCGTTTATATATATATATATATATATATATATATATATATATATATATATATATATATATATATATATATTTTATTTGGTGAGGAGGACAATGAACATGTTCCCCCCGGGATTTACGCCCGTGGTTGCGCCACAAATCAAAAGAATCAGCGCTTGATTAAATGGCCTTAGCAGAAGCCATCGTGCATATCAAAAACAGGCAAAGCAATAGATTAATATTATTTAACATATCACAGAGATTTAAAGAAAAATATTAGATGTAACCCCATTTGTAATTTTTAACATTTTCAAAAGTAACTGTAATTTAATTACATATTTTTCTTAGTAACTGTAACTAATTACTGTTACTTTTATTTCGTAATTAAATTACGTAACATGTAACTAGTTACTCCCCAACACTGGCGATAGGATGTAACATTTGGACATTATGCGATCATATATGAGGTCGTGATTTGCCTGAATGGAGCTCTGAGCGCAATGATGAGATTAATTAACGCGCAGAATGACCCATGAGGCGGAGGATGATGGGTAATGCTTAAATGAGCACAAAACGTAATTTTCCCTCTGATTTTTATCAGAGAATAAGGCAGAATATGTATATATTTATACATATTGTGGCAAATATATGTGGCAAAAATAAAATAACAATAAATAAATACAACGTCTGCTATGGAAAAAAATGAAATAAAATTAAAATAAATAAATAAATACTGCGTCTGGTACCCGTGTCAATAATAATAATCAGAATACTGCGTCTGTGTCAATAATATTAATCAAACTACTTCGTCTGGTACTCTGGTCAATAATAATATTCATAATACTGCGTCTGGTACCCTGTGGCTATAATATTTCATAAAAATATTTTTTAAAAGCGCAGCATCGGGTACCCTATGGCAAAATAAATATATTTAGAATATTTATATATATAAATATATATAGCACA